ATCAGACATAACTATTTAAACATTATCATAAGCTAAACTAAGTATGGAAAGCAGCCCTTTAGCTTCACCACAATGACGAGCTCTGACTACAGAACACATGACTTCTTTCTAAAATAAGCATAGTCCATTTATAGCTTTCAGTGTGTAAATTAAAACCATGTCAGTCAGTTCTGGTAATGTGTGATTTCATGTTTTTCCAAGAACTGTCATCTGTCCATTTGGTGGTTTCACTAGTTCTTCTTTCTGTCCCTTGTGTGTTTATGAAATGTGGTCACATGGTAATCCAGTGTCAATGAAAATAGCTATAACATGGTTTATGAAACAATTTAGGGAAATTTAAGTGTCAAGTGTGGATGGAGGTGTGAGACACAGTCTGTCCTGTGAGGTCAGAAAACAAACACAAACAGCTCTGGTCTGCCAGTTCAAGTGTCTGAGATGTGAGTCCAAGACGAGTCTCAGAGATCTGGGGTGCAAGTCCAAGTTGAGTCTCGGGAGTTTAGGGTGTGATTCTGAGTCAAGCCTCAGATGTCTAGGGGTCTGAGTCCAATTCATGTCTCATGGCACTTTGGTACAAGTCTGAGACGAGTCTTGAGTCTCTGAGGTATAAATTTGATCCAAGTCTCTGAGGTGCAAGTTTGAATTGAGTCTCTGGACTGTGAGTTTGAGACAAATCTTTGATGTGCGAGTCTGAGTCTCAAGTCTTTTTAGTGTGAGTCTAACTCTTTAGTACAGAGAATTTCAGTTCCTTAATTAGCATCACCCTAACAGATTCAACACAGCTTTAGAAAAGAAGTGTTTCATCACAGAAAACCTTCAGGCTGATTGACAGAACTGCAGTAATTATGCTGCTTAATATAAAGGGGCAAATGGTTAGTTAGTCTGTAGATTGTAAGTATGCTAGCTGGCTGGAGGAATAGCTAATCTACCTCAAGTTTAATCACTTTTAAAGGAATGTAATCTGTAATTAACTATACTTTGGCTATTTTAGCTCCTGAAAAACAACCCCACACCATAATCCCTCTTCCACCAAACTTTACACTTGGCACAATGCAGTCGGACAAGTACCGTTCTCCTGGCAACCACCAAACCCAGACTTGTCCATCGGATTTCCAGATGGAGAAGCGTGATTCGTCACTGCAGAGAACACGTCTCCACTGCTCTAGAGTCCAGCGGTGGCGCTTTACACCACTGCATCCGACGCTTTGCATTGTGCTCGGTGATGTAAGGCTTGGATGCAGCTGCTCGGCTTCCCATGGAAACCCATTCCATGAAGCTCTCTACGCTGTTCTTGAGCTAATCTGAAGGCCACATGAAGTTTGGAGGTCTGTAGCGATTGACTCTGCAGAAAGTTGGCGACCTCTGCGCACTATGGGCCTCAGCATCTGCTGACCCCGCTCTGTCATTTTACGTGGCCGACCACTTCGTGGCTGAGTTGCTGTCGTTCCCAATCGCTTCTGCTTTGTTATAACACCACTGACAGTTGACTGTGGAATATTTAGTTGCGAGGAAATTTCACGACTGTCATCCTATCAGTTTTCTGAGATTTTCAGTTGAAATGTTTTACTTTTAATGCTGAGCTTCATGTCTGTATATCCACTCTCTTTAACTGCACACCTGTAATCTCGTCTATCCTCTTCAGTCAGGTTTGATATAAGTAGAGATTGATTTCCTGGAGAGTGACCATTAACCAGCTGGGCTCTGTTTCTGTACTGACCTCTTTCACTGACTATTACTTTCCATCTGTTTCTGTTTATATTTTTGTTGTGTTTCTGCCAGCTGAATGTCTCAGGTTTGGTGTGTAGGTCAGTGCAGTGGCAGGGCAGCAGAACTGACCCTCCTGTATATGCAGTAATATGCCATTTTTGTTTGTTTGTTTGTTTGATTGTTTGTTTTTGCTTTACTGACTAAGTCACTGCTTCTGCAGTGAATGTGGGGTGGAGTTGGGGTTCGGGTTAGTAATAAATAAGTGAATTGGGCCGTGAACATGGCATTTAATATGTTTTAATCTTATCAGTTCTTTCCGCCAAATTCTAGTTCTTTAACAAGCAGTTTGTTGCTACGTCAGATTAACGAACTCTCCTCACTCGCTGCACAGTCTGCGGTAAGCCTCGCCTTCTGAAGTGCGACTGAAGTGACTGAGCCATAAAACCGACGCAATATCAAGTTTAGCTCAGTTTTGTCATTTTTTGCCAGATCAATATTAATGTTGTTTTGTTCCAGCCAGTCTGTAAATTGTATTGGTATTCGGTTCATTTCTGGCTAATTCCAGGTTGTTTAGCTGTTCTTCTGTCACAGCTGCCGACTGAAAAGCTGCTCAGTGGTGATGACAGTTTTGAAATTTAGTGTTAAATATGGTCTTAAAAGTATCCATTTTCTGTTTGTGTGCAAAGTAAGAAGTAAAACGTTCAAATGGTTTGAGTGTCCTTGGTTCCTACAGCTGTCAAAGTTGTTGCTTAGCAACGGCATCTCAGCAAAGTGATACAGTGTTGTGAAAAAACGTGATGTTATGGCAAAATAACAGCACAGTTAGAACGCTTCTCAACCAATCAGCTTGCGTGGCCAGAACTAACTGTTGTATAATTGTTTTAATTTAACCTTTTCACTTGTTACATACCCACGTTTTGTCTAAAGTGCTGTGGGATCAGCAACATGTGGCATTAAAAGACTGAACTGGTGATGATGGGATTAAAAGCTGGAGGAACAGACTAACAGAGCATTTGTAGCCATTTTATTAAAACCATCCACAATATGCTATGATATCTAGTACCACACTGGAAGAGTCAAACTGTAGACAGCACCAAAGAAAAGAACAAAACAAAACAAAAGCTAACTACTCTATACTCCCCTGGCCAGTAATCAGAAATACATGTGGCAGTGCCCACCCTCTGACCTAGGGAACTAGACAGAGTGGACTTCTATGTGGTGCGAATGTATAGGCACATCCATCGTACCTGTTTGCAACCCCAGGTGGTAGAAATAATCAATCTCTTGGAAAACTAAGGTAAAATTGTACAGGTAAAATACCAAAACTAATGCACTTCCCCAGAGTTACACCAGCTGGGCCTCCGATGGTTAGAGGTCATCTTTATATGACTGATTGCCTTCACAGGCACACTAAAGTGAAGAAATAGACCAGAAGAGAGACAGAGACATAAAAAACCCCAATACCCAAATACATGCTTATACCTAACAGTAACTAGTTTATAGAAAGTATAAAAGTAAAGACAAGCATCATTAGTTGGCTCTGATGGTGGCATATTCAGTCATATCTCCAGTGTCGATCACTGTGGGTGAGCTGGTTCTGTTACTGTGGACTACAGTAGAGTACGTCACCTGATCCTGCAGAGAGAACACACATGTTAATATACATAAACAAACAAATAACACTCTGCCACTTCAAATCACTTCAGAGTTTATTTTATATGGTGGGATATGATTGATATGATGGCATGTTATTGGAAGTGATGAGACATGATTTGATGTGATGGGATATGATGAGTAGTGTTGGTACACGGTGGCATATAATGGAATGTGATATATGGAATTTGATTTGATGGCTTGTGATGGGAAATAATAGGATGTGATGGGTGTGAATGAATATGATCAGATGGAATGTGATGGGCTATGATGTGTTATAGGTTATGACTGGGATGTGATAAAGTGTGACTGAACATGGTGGGATGTGATGAGATGTAATGTTATGAGACATTGATGGGATGTAATGAGACATGATGCAAGTGATGGGGGGTGATTGGATGTGATGGAACGTGTGAACTCACCTGTCTCTCCTGTTCTCTCTTCATCCCTCTTTGTTCTCTGCTCTCCATCTGTGCTTGTCTCTGCCCTGTAGAATGAAACCAGACAGTGAGATCCAGGCACTGCACATATCACAAAAGACTGTGTGTGTGTGTGTGTGTGTGTGTGTGTGTGTGTGTGTGTGTGTGTGTGTGTGTGTGTGTGTATGTATGTACCTCTGTATCTCCAGTAGATGACTCCTCCAAGTCCCAGCAGGAGAACTACAACAGGAATAAAGATGAAGAGATGCATACTGGGTGTTGAGTGAGGGGAGATCTTACTTTCAACAGTAGTCAGAGTGCTGTGCTTAGCATTAAGTGTTGAAAAGGAGCTTGCAGTTGAAGTAGTTAAACTGGTTTTGCTGCTGACCACTGCAGTAGATGTTGTAGTTTTAGGTGGACTCTCTGTAGAGAGAGAAGGTTTGATAGTCAATGCAGGAACAGGAAAACAACAACAGGTTCACTATAAATACACAGTAATATTAATACCTTTTACTAGAAACATTAATTAGTTTTATGTTTTAATGTAGAAGGTGTAGAAGATGT